TTACTTCCCCTGAAATATTGGCTGGAATAACTAGACATTGTCTTTTTATTTAAAGATAAATTAGGTATAGTTGATCTGAAAAGAAACGATTTCTTGGAGTTTTGTAGTGGGCGCTTGCGCCGAGGCGACACTGGTCTTGTTCTCAGAAACAAGAAAGCTAAAACCTAACTCTATAGAGATTCCTTTTTTCTAAGAATCTGTAACATATGGAACGCCTTACCAAATAACATAAGAGCAGAAAAGGAACTACCGTCAGTTCGTCAAAAAATTAAAATCTTTCTTTTATCGAAGACTTAGCAAAGTTTTCAATCAAGACGACATCTGTTCTTTTAAAATAGTTTGTGTAAAATTTTGTCCTTTCAATGCTCTTAATTCTTGTGCATGTTAATCAACTAGTTTTTTTTTCTTTTTCTCTTTCGTCAATGATTATATATTTTGTTATTTCCTAGCATGGGGGCTTATAAGTCGGTTGGGTTTCAATTTTGTCTGTTTGTAGGGGTTAGAGAAATGTAATTTACCAAGTAGGGGACAAACTTGTCCTATTGTAAGTTTACCTACCTTCGGCAAATTGTTAAATTAAAAAAGAAATTTAAAAGAATAGGATTAGTGACGCCAACAAAAGGTTTTAAAACTTGACCTTGGCAAAAGTCCAGTAGCATTGATGACTCAAATTAAAATGAGATCTGTTTTTCTCGATTTAATTCCATTTTGTCAAATGAGGATCATCAAAAGTGATTTTCTGCTACCTCGCTTTCCATTTTTTCCTTTTTTCGCATTTTTATTATTGTGTATCCAGCTGTTGTTTTTACTAAGAACTGAGTGTTTTGTCATTAGTCGCCAGGCAATCACGACTGTTATTCAGTCGCGATAATTTCAAAGTCGACAGTAAAAATATTCATATTTAGTCACGTATGATAAAAAATGCCGCTGTGTGATTGGTCTGGCCCTCCTAAAAGCAGATAAACTACTCCTATTGGTATTAAAATCACCGCACGCATACAAGCAGGCAAAGCTACGATTCAAAATTGGTTAATTCTGATTTAAAAAAAAAACAAAAATGAATGCTTCGAAAACTCAACCTGACGGTTTTGTTGTTTTAGAGATGCCAGGAACTGCTGGATTACTACGAAATGATTCAAAAATAGCTTGGAACAAAATCAACCCCGAGGGTAACGACGTGTCTGGGGAAGACGCGTCCAAGATGTCTGCAATCAGGCAACTATGGAATGGTTTCGTGGAAAATGCAACTCTTCATGGTTTATCTCATGTGGTTACCGGTAAATCGAGGATTCGTCGCATTCTCTGGGCTGTGTTTCTTTTGACGGCAATTGCGTTTTTTTCATATCAGTCCATCAGCATGTTAAAGAAGTATTTCAGCTTCCCAAACACCACAAAAGTCAGTTTGAAATACGATTCGATGCCGGATTTCCCAGCCGTGACTATTTGCAACTTCAACAAGTACAGAAGTTCTGTTGTTAAAAATTTGACTTCGTTAGGACTGGGTGGAGCTACATATGAAAATGTAGACTTCAGCACACTAACCAACTTAACACAATTTTTATTCGATGCGGGACATCAAATCAATGATACTATGCATTCTTGTCGGTGGAACGGTAAACAGACCTGCGATTACAGGAATTTCACTCCAGTTTTGACCTCTATGGGGCTTTGCCACACATTTAATTCAGGTATGTTTTGGGATTTTTTTATCTTAACAAGCCTTCTTTTTTTTCTTTGAGAATCTGTCAAGGTCTTCATTATTTATGCAGATGCTTTATTTTCGAAGCATCAGGGCTGTAATTTGTGTTATTTTGTTGTTGTTTTCAAGTCGATCTATAATTACAACCGAGTGATCTGGAACGTTTGCCAAGACGCAAAGATTTAATCCATGTAGATCACTGTTACGATTACTGTTTGACGGAAAAATTCATGTTCGGTGAAATTGTTTACTTTAAATGATTATAAATTATTAATATGGATAAGTTGAGGGACTTACGTACGGACGGAGGGACGGACCGACCAATGGGAGGATGGATTGAGTGATTGATTCTCAGATTTTTCAGGGAAGGATGGTCAAAGTGTTTTGAAGGTCAATGAGGCAGGAGCAGACTCTGGACTTTCTTTGATACTAAACGTACAACAATATGAATATTTTGGAATTCAAGCAATCAGTGCCGGCCTCAAGATACGTGTTCATCGTCAGAATACTCTGCCTATAGTTGGTCGGCTTGGATTTTCTGTTGGTCCTGGCACAAGTGTATTTGCAGGGATACGAAAAAAGAGGGTAAGTTATATAAGGAAGGAGAGCGGTCTGTGTAAATATCATAACCGTAGCAACCGAATGGGCCTTTCCCGATTGTGCTCGGCAACTTTTGGGTAAGCTTTGACGTTTGGAGTATCCTTAAATTTCGTCCCTATTTGCGAGCAACTCCTTAAAGCTAGGTTCCAGCTGTTTTTTCTTGACCGATGTTAGCATTTATAGTGAAGAACGAAAAATGAAGCACTTAATTAATGTTCATATTAGAATATCAAGAAATTCAGCTGGCAACTTTTTGCATAGTTTAAGCATTCCGGTGAGCAACTTTCCAGAATTTTACGAGCACAATCGGAACAGTCCTACGACCGATTGCAATCCAGATCATTAATTTAGTTTATTAATTACTTGATCAGCAAGCCCCTGAGACCACGTTATCTTCTTTTTTTTTGACACAATCTCATCGTTCTTTTTTAATCACTTTGTTAAAAGTACATCTCGAAATCAGCAGTGATTTGTTACTTACGACTATGAATACGTGGACTTAATAGAGGTAATCCAAAATGGCTTTCAGAAATTTCTTGTTCACAGCTTATGAAACAATTTTCACATTAGTATTTAAACGTGTCAAAAAAAGGCAACAATTCTTCTTTTCCTACAGCCCTTTTCCAATCTGAAACACCTCGAGGTTTTCGTTCTTTCTCTCTTTCTTTCTTTCTTTTTGTTTTTTTTTTTTTTCAGTTTTAAATGTCTTTTGGAAGCTTTGGGTCTGCCTCAAAGAGGGCCCTTGGATCACTTAAGGCTCGAGTTTGTTGTATCAAATCATAAGTCAAACAAAAAATAAATTCGTTCTACAAAATAATCCTTGAGCTTTACCATCCCTCCGTCTACTTGTTGAAGGTTATAAATCTCCCAAAACCGTACGAAAGCAACTGCTACGATGGAAAGATGGATGCCATAACTGATCACACGACGTACACAATTTCATCATGTTTGTCGCTCTGTGAGGCCAGGTCTTTGA